CGTCTCAAAAAAAAAAAAAAAAAAAAGACTTATAGCACTTCCATAATATTAAGTTTATTAGTAGTAAATGGGGAAGTGTTATATTAAATTTATTTGGAATTCCACATTTATAACCTTACTAATTCAAGTAAAACAGAACTCTTACACAGTGAATAAAGTCACTGTTAACGAAGCCTTTTCACCCTTGACTAACATGTTTCAACTTAGCAACATTTACAAAATATTCTTATGTGTTAACCACCTCTTTGTAAAATTGCGTAATGAATATTTTGGAAATAAAGGTCCATTTAACTACATTTTCCCATTTTCCTTATGTATGGTGACTTTAGGGATAACTTTGGGACACCCTGTATAGTAGTCCTCCCTTATCTGCAGGGAATATATTCCACAGTGGCCAGTAGCTGCCCAAAACCACGATACCAAACCATATTTGCTATGTACATACATAACTATGCTATGTACATATGTAACTATGATAAAGTTTAATTTATAAATTAGGCACAATAAGAGATTAACAACACAGTAATGAAATAGAACAATTATAACAATGTACTGTAACAAAAGTTATCATACATTGTGGCTATAACTTTTGCAGTTTGAGGTATGACAGCAAAACTAGCATGAAGTTCTTTTTCCTTCCTCACAATTTCACAGAAAATTCATTCTTAACAGATTTTAGCATATAATTTTATTTTCTTCCCTTAAGAGAATTTTCACCTTTTCACTTAAAAGTAGCACTTTAACGCTTCTCTTTGGCATATCCAAATTGCCAGCATCACTACTCTTGCAATTTGGGACCATAATTAAGTGAAATAAGGATTATTTGAACAAAAGTGCTGTGATGGTGGCTGGGGTCTACAGTATGAGTACAAAGAGATGATTCACGCCGCAGGCTGGATGGAGTGAGAAAGAGCACAATTGAACATTTCTGAATTGTTTATATCTATAATTTTCCATTTAATATTGCTTGATGGCAGGTAACTGAAACTGCAGAAAGCAAAGCTGCAAATAAGTGG